GCAGGAATAGCACACCCTGCTCTCAGGAGCACGAGGGGTCCTGCAAGACAGATACCTGTGCAGACCCTTGGTGGGAATGGGCAGATAGTCAGGGAGGATTTTACAAAACAACATTTTTATGTCATGTTGTGGAATTTTTTTTTTCTTTTCTAGGCAGAAAACAAAGGTCAGATCTTTACAGAGAACATACAAGACAATTGTAAGCATTTAATCATCTTGCTCTTTGCATGTTCAGTTTACTTCAGTGCGATTATAGGAGCTAGATGTTCAATGGATAAAAAAAATAGCAGCAATTCCATTAGAAGTTCACCAGCTAAAGCAAAGATCATCTGCTGGAAACTCTTTTAAAGCAGTGAACAGAATTTCCAGCAATTAACCACAGATCAACTTAGGCCAGCTAAAATTATGGTTATTATATCCTGCATTTGCAGGTATCTTCTGGCTTGTAGGAACATTTGCCCTGGTGTGACAGCCTCCCCGCAGGGACAGGGATCATGGTGACACTGCAGGGACCCTGGACACAGTCCCCTCAACCACGTGCAAGGGAAGCTGCTGCATTACAGCATGTCCCACAGCAGACACTCGCATCTCTCCAGCTTTGGTTTGTATATGAAGCTTGCAGAGCTCAGGGCTTTCAACGCAGGAGCCTTTTCCTGCATGGACTCTCACGTCTGTCCCTTCATCATGATCCCAGATAAAAGTTCCCACAACATTTCGCAGCATATAAGGGTCCCATTTGCTGTGATTTGAAGTTCTGACCCAGTTTTTCTACAGTGGGAAGCACGTCTCCGTGCTCCAGTGCTTGGTGCGTCAGAAAAGATGATGTTCCAGGCATACTCAATCTTTCCCTGGTGGCTGAGATAAATGAGCCCATCACAAAAACGCAAGCACCTAGAATATTTGTTTTCATTTGTTACTTGGAATTCCCCATCCGCTGCTTTTCTGGCTCTTGCGCTCCGGAGCGGGAGCCAAGATTTCCAAGAGCTGCTCCTTGTGGCTGCCGGTCGCAGGAAGGCTCCGACCTCGCGCAGCTTCATGGTTCTTCTCGCTCCTAAATGTGTCTGGGACGGCAAAAGGAACGTGCTCCTTTGAAGTCCATGTTTCATTCCAGACCTTCAAGGGCCTTCCCACTGGAGGCTTCGCCTTCATGTGTCTTCCCTCATCCATATTTAAAACCTGTCATTTCTGGTGCAGCACAAAGATCCCATTCTAGAGTACAAGGTGCTACATAGAGCTTTACCTGCAGAGTTATATCAACACGCTCCTAATTAATTGATGTTTTTGCTTTGCATGGATAATAGATCTGGATAGTGTAAATATGTGTGGTAGATGCAGGCTTGGAGAAACCCAGGAATTTCACCCTCATGTGGAAGGGGAAAAAAGAGCAGGAAAAGGAGGCAAATGAAGAGAGGCACCTGCATCTTTCACCTCGTTTTTTCAGCTGCTTCTCAATGATTTTAATGCCCACGTATTGCTGCGTGCTTTGGTGCATGCTGGCAGCGACGACAACGGGGCCGAGCGGAGGCGGGTGAGGAATGTGCGCGGTGCCGGAGGCCGCGCGCCCTCCCTCCTCCTGCCACCTCCTCCCCAGCTGTTTGCCAGCTGCAGAGGCCGGGCAGCCCCTGGGAGGCAGCTGGGCGCATCAGGGACTCTGCGGAGAGCAGCCTTTAGGTTGTTTAACTAAATTCCCTTGTAAAGTGACCATGACAAATGGCCTGCTTGGAGCGTGACGTGACAGCAGCGCTGAGCGCTGGCAGGAAAGCGCAAGGCAGCTCTGCATTCGTGGCATAGGTGAACCAAGAGCAGGGGTGCAGAGATCCTTGGAATATCCAGGAGAGCAGCTGGATGCTTCCCAGCTGCGGAAGGAAGCCATGCCCAGGGCAATCGGCTCCCAGTTCTTGGATTTCAGTAGGTGTGGAGGAGGCTGCTGGTCAGACCTGTGCTAATGCAGAGAACAGGAGTGGGGAGGATCATCGAAGCTGCTCTGGGTGCGCTTGCCTGGAAGGGTGGGAGCTGCCTCCACTGGGAAAAAGGAAAGGCTTTCCTCTTCCTTGCATGGATTGGCTTTGTTTGCTGGATTGGAAATAAAGGCAGATGGGTAGTTTTTATGTGGGCAGTAGCTGTGGCATTCAGGGCCATGCCTCCTGCCTCAAGCCCAGCCTGGTGCACTGGGTTAAGGAGCATGCTGTTGTAGAAAAAAGCATAAAAACCCAACCCGCTCCCCGCAAAAAAAATGAGATAGACCCAATGGGTGGAAATTCCAGTTAATGGACATTCAGCCAGTTAGTCTAGAGTCTGCAGGGCTCACTGTTCTCTGAGGCCCAGGAGTGTTATCCGAGCACATGGAAACAGCGACCGTCACCGCCAGTTTCCTCCGAGGAGGCCACAGGAGTGCCGGAGGAGTTAGGAAATCCCGTGTGTCATCGTTAGCGCTGCCGAGCCGCCGCATCCCGGCGGCACATCCTGCAGCTCCTCGCACAACCAAAATAGCGGCGTGTTGGCGCCGCGCTCGAGAGGGACGCGCCGTACGCCGCGAGTAACACATGCGTCTCCAGCGAACGTGGGCAGTGCCGCTGCACGCGCGTGCCGTGGGACACCCCGGAGGCTGCAGCGACAGGTTTATTTCTGGTTGGATGCGATTTTCCTTCCTCCAGCAGAGTTAAACGGCGCTGATAAATACGGCTATAGATGACACTAAAGCTGTGTTCGATCTCTAACGTTAAGCTAGAGACATCAGCGTCTCTGAGCAAGTCCTCTATGGGCATTACCTTTGCAAGGGAAGGTATGAGTAAGGCAGGCAATGACTTCCATGCACTGTTATGTGGGGGTGTCCTTAAAAATTAATTTAAATATGTATTTTCTATATATATATACACATATATATGTGTGTATGTATATATATTTAAGTGTGTGCGTTGTATATCTCTCTGTATTTATATATCTCAGATCTATCTGTCAGTGCAGGTTCACTGCATAGCAACAGTTTAAAGCCTGTGCCTTTTTGTTTCCACATAGCTCAGGCAGCTCCTTGGACACTGTAGTCAGCTCTGCATTCGAGGCCTACATACGATTTAGCTAACGTGCTGCATTTCAAATCCCTTCAGTGCCTTCCTCGCCCTTGCAGCCTGCTCAGTCACTGTGTATCTGCAGAGGCAAAAAAATGTCTGGTTGAGGGGGAAAAAAAAAGAAAAAAGGACCTAATCTTCTATGCTTCAGCGCGTTGCCTCCCATTAGTGCTGCATGCCTGCGCGGTGCAGCAGCAGGGGAAGGTACCGCAGGCCGCAGCGTCCCCGTCGCCAGCGCCTGCATTCGAGTGCCCTCTGCCGATGGGCCGACTGCATGCCCAGGTTGCCTGGCAGGTTATCCCGGAGGTCTCCAGCTTTCCGGGGTGCCTTCATCCCACGCAGCCCGTCCTAGAGCCAGGGCTGCACTGTGTTTCCTTAGCTTGATGCTGCTCTGGTGCCGGGGAGCCTGCTGCCCAGCTTGGTGTCACAGCCAGGATGCTGCCAGCAGCTTGAGCACAGCAGGGCAGTTGTGGCGGTTTGAGGAGTTTCACTGGTTAAAACCAGGGCGAGAGTCAGGCCTGCTGGAGAAGTCTGTTTGCAGCAGATTTTTTTCCCCTGTTATGGGGAAAAAAAAATAAGAGTAGATCCTTTGGGAACTGTACAAAGAAAGAAAGGAAGTAGCACCTTCCTTGGGCAAGTCCCAAGTCCCAGGTCACCCCAGAGCAGGTCGCAGATGGACTTCACCCTGAAATGCCGTGGTGTCACCAGTGGCAAGGACACTGTAGAGCTAAGGAAGCTGTGGCACAAACCAGGGAGCTGGGGCGGTCCTGAGAGCGGCCCGGAGGACATGAAGCCACCCAACTCATACTGTAGTTTAAGACAGTTGAAGCAATTCAACATCATGCTAGCTAATTATTTTTATGCCTTCAGTTTCTGTCTTGGAGCCCACAGGGCACATTATAAGCATGTTTTCCCCCTTTGCTGTGCTCAGCCTTGCACGTAGGACCTCCGAGTGGCGTGTAATTACGAAGCAGTATTGATTTCTGGAGAAGAGGCTGTAAATGTACAAGTCCTTCTCATAAAAAGTAGTTTGATCCTGAAATGGCTTGGCAAAGAACCTTATTTTCTTTAGTAAATAACATGACTGACTGGTAAGAATTGAAAAAAAAAAACAGTAGTAACTGGATGCTGGGTCCTCTGTATTAGCTTTTGGTCTCACAATTGCAGCAGGGATGTTCCCTGTGTGGTGGGCAAGATGCTTCCAAAAAGCCTTGAGAAGGGCGGCTCTGAGCACCCCAGAAGTGTTTTACTTGTGTCTGCCACCATCTCCATGTCTCACCCGTGTCTTTTGCCCCTGCAGCAACAGAGGCGGGAGAAGGAGCTGCGGAAGCAGCAGGAGCGGGAGCAGCGGCGGCACTACGAGGAGCAGATGCGCCGGGAGGAGGAGCGGAGACGGGCCGAGCACGAGCAGGTACCCCGGGGCCGCCGGCCCGTCGGGTCCTCGCGGCCCGGCTGCCTTCGGGATGGTTGCCCTCCGCGTGAATCCCTCCTAATTTAATAAACTGAAAGGCAGATCTCCTCATAACGCTCACACTTTTTTGCCACTTCCACCACTTGAGCATAAATTGCTTTGTTGTTGATGCCGCCTGTGTCGCTTTCCACTGCCGTAATTTACTTCTGTGGGGATCCACTTGTTTGCCCGCAGATGTGGAGACACTTGAGGTGGAGCTTTCCCACCCTGCTGCTCCCAGCACAGGGCTTGGTGCCCTCCGTACCCTGTGCACGTAGCTCTTCCTTCCCAGAGGCCCCTGTCCCAGGCGAAGGGCCTGAGAACATCCGGGCCCTCAAGCGGGTGGATATCCGTGCTCCAAGTCCTCCTCGTGCTCCTCACCAGCAATTCCTCTTGGAAATCACCGGCTTTTTCACCTTCTCTCTCTCTCTCCTTTGCTCCTTGCTGCCCGTGCCTCCAGGAGTACATCAGGCGACAGTTAGAGGAGGAGCAGAGACAGTTAGAGATCCTGCAGCAGCAGTTGTTGCAGGAGCAAGCGCTACTTCTGGTAATGGGGCGGCCGCGGGGCCGCCGTCGCTCCGCGTCGCGCCCGCATGCGTGTGCCCATGTGCCCTGCAGACACCCCGGCCGGCCGCCGCCTCCCTCGCGCTCGTGCCGGGCTCGGGGCCTCGCGCTGCTCCCCTCACATCTCCTCCCGGGCACCCTTGCGCCTCCGCTCGAGGGGCCCACAGCTCAGCCCCGCGCTGGGCCGGGCACCGGCTCCGTTTGGGGCTGTTTGCAGCATGCTGGCGCAGCGGAGCCGTGAGGTGGCTTCACCCCGCACGGCCGCTCTGCGATGCACGCTTCGTATTTTGGCCGTGTGCTTTTGTTTAACTCCTTCGCAGGAATATTGTGTATCCCCTCTTGTGCTGTTTGTGTTCTAGACTTTTTTAAAAAAAATTGTCCTCTTTTGATGCTCGTAGCTGTTACTCTCACTGTGTTTTATTTTAATCCACAGGGATTATTATTTGTCTCTCTTCCCATTAGCTTTATTTAGGGAAAAGGAAAAAACGCCTCACACAAGTCCTTCACTTTTAGAAAGGCACTTTCTAAAAGAAAAGCATTAATGATTTAGTAATTAAACCTAGTAAAGCCCCAGGGATTGGGAAGGATCACACAGTTGCCTCTGCTGTGCAGCTGTTGCCACAAACAATAAATCAGTCCTACAAAGTGCTGCATGGCCTCAGCTTCGGTTGGATTTCTATGAACCGATGCTGTTTGGTACCTTACTGGCTTGGTCCTTTCTTCTTCCCGTCTGGAAGAATCTGAGCAAAATCAATGATGACTTATAAGCCCTATGAGAATGTTATACAACGTGGTCATATCTGTTTGGGTCTGCCCAAGCGATTCAGATCCAGACCTCCTGTTTTGTATGTGGATTTAAAGTCTCTATCAGTGAGATTCCAGCTACGTGGTGCTAAAATGCCTTCTTAGACCAGATCTGTGGCGTCGGAAGGTGCAACACACTTGTACTTGCAGCCTCTGGGTGCCAAGGTCATGCATTTGCATGCCAGCCGGACCCGTGCCGGTGTCACCGTGCAGCCACGTTGCTCTCTTGTCGCCCGCGCAGGAGTACAAGCGCAAGCAGCTGGAGGAGCAGCGGCAGGCGGAGCGGCTGCAGCGGCTGCTCCAGCAGG